TCACCGTATACAGGGTTGCTGTGAGTTGGAATCAACTCCATGGCACTTAACAACAACAACTGTATAAAATAGTTCCTAAGGTTGATGGTTCAAGCTCACCAACCGATCCTCGGAAACTCTGTACAGGGTCGCTATGGCTCGGAACTGACTCGATGGCACTTCACAACAACAACAATGATATCTTGTCAAGATATTTTCTTTTATGGGAAAACAAAGCTTATGACTTTAAGATATAACAAATGTGCAAGTCAAGTACGCAGTCTTTCTCTGATTGTCTGCATGGAATGTACATGCTTAGCACTGAGCATAGCTTTACTGCTGAAACAGTTGGTTTAGAAGCCTCTAGTCTCTACTTCGCTGTTGTTTGTAGCAGTCGTGTTTTCATTGATAAAAATTTGTTGTAGCTTTCATTCTGTACCTTTCTTGCTGGATCAGATGTGTAGTGCTCTTCTCTGAATCCAGTGGAGCAGGATTAGACCGGGAACAAGTAGAGCTTAGGGGCTTGTTTTAGGATCTAATGCGAGTACATAATTACTGTGCCCTGTACCAGTTCTTTAGCATTTTAATGGAGAAGAGGGTGGCCATTCTAACCGACATTTTCTGAATCATCTTCAGGTCTTCATTCTTTTCTCCAGCTCTTTTTTTTTAGCCAACGTTTCTTAAATTTAGTATTTTGTTTGGTCTAGTGAGCTGTTGTTTTCTTGAGACCTGCTGTGGTGCTGTAGGATAAGCACTGGACCACGAGGTCAGTTTGAACTGCAAGGTTCGCAGTTCAGACTCACCAAACGGTCCTCAGAAACTATACAGGGTAGCCAAAAGTAGGAACTAACTTGAGGACAGTTTTAACAACAATATGAAATGTGATAGCTAGCATTGCATTTACCTTGGCAGGGCTAGACCAAATGATTTTGCCAACCTTATATGGTCCACGGGCTGGACCTTCACCATCCCTGCTATACAGGGTCGCTGTGAGTTGGAACCAACTTCATGGCACTTAACAGCAAGAAGTGGGATCTTTTATATTCTTTTGTTTTGGGTAATAGTTTTTTAGTTTCGTCACTTACATGGATTCCTGTGTTCCATCCATCCACTTCTTTCTTCCATTTCATCATAAGCCCTGTGCCTCTTGCCTTTTTGATCTGCAGCCACAATTCATCTCTGGATCTGCCCATTGCCACTGCCAAACATAATTGCTTCCCAGACCTCTCTTTCAATTTGGGACAGCGAAAGTGATGATATTGAAAGACTGGTTAATTTAAATAAAGCTCAGAAAAATTTACTTGCCGAGAACACATTTGGCTCTTAATGTGTTTTCTTTGAACCTTGGCCCTGGCTCTCATGCATTTCCAGTTGTGTTGTAGTGTATGCATTAGAATTCAGGCTTGAATAATGGTTCCATTTGGTTTTCTGCGAGTTTGTTGGATAGAATTTTTAATTCAGGTAAGTTTCTGGGTTTTATTAATTAACCTCAGAGGCAGCTACTAGGTTTCAAATTGTATGGCACAGTGAGTAACATAGAAAGTAATCAGATACTTTCTAGGTCAAGAGAATTTTGTTCCTTCAGTAAAGGCTCATGAAGGGCTTCTGAAGGAGGAGAAACACTAATTAACATTGACCAGTGCTTTAGTGTTTATTCAGTTTTTAAAGTTTTACTCATCTGTTCACTTGAGAATTTTATCCTGAAACATTTAAGTCCTATAGTTAATGATTTCAGTTTTTCTCTTAAGGATTTTTAAGTCTGTTGTTTCAGAATCTCTACAGGGTTTCCAAGGAGCGGCTGGTGGCTTTGAACTGCCAACCTTGAAGTTAGCACTCCACACCAGGACTCCAGGCGGATATTAGGCTTTTACGTTGTCCTTACTGTTAAAGTAATAATTACTCATTATAGGAAAGATTAGCGTAGATAAAAAGTATACAAGTGTAAAATATTAAAACTTTGAATCACCCATCTTAATTAACCAGTTGAGCATAACCAATTAACCATTGCATATTTTGGCAAATTTCTTTTCATTTTTTTAACTTTAACCTCTTCTGAATGGTAGTTTATGTAATTTTGCAAAGATGAGGCTTTCTACTCCCGTAAAGATTTACACCCTCGGAAACCCTGTACAGGGTCGCTATGGGTCGGACCCGACTCGATGGCACTTAATAACAACAACAACAACTTTTCCTTAATGTTAGTATCATTATCCTATTAACATTTAACCAAATCTGGAAAGCTTTTTTAGTGATCATACCATAATTTATTTGAAAATTTTCCAGTGTATTTTTTTTTTAATGTTTTATTGTGAATTATATGATAGTTTACATGAGAGAACATTAGTTTTACATTCATCTTATCATATATCATTTCATTGCCATGGTTACAATCCCCTCCATGCATTATCAACCAACCAAAGGGTATACACTACAAGCCTGCTCCCTGGTCGTCAGCACACAGCCCCTTTCCCTTTCTGGGTCTAAAGTCCCCAACTGCTCCATCTCTCCACATCGTCTCTGCCTCTATCTCAGGCATCACTGCTTCTCTGGATAGGGTCCCGCTCTCCGCTCTTCTCCCTTCATGGTCCCAGGG